ACCTTTTATTCTGTGGCATGTGCTTTTTGTACAAAGAAAACCCTGTTCAAGGGTTTTATCACATTATCCTTGACGAAGCTTCTGATGTTCTTTCTCTCTAAACACTGCGACAAAATCTTAGATCTCGAATATCAATCAGTGAAATCGAGGCACATCAGAAATCTCAAGACTCGTGGAGCATGAACATGGGTTCGAAATTTTGACTATCATATGTCCAGACAATACTTTAGCATGCTCTCTGTAGAAGCAGCTGCCTCCTCATCGGCCTAAAATGCCTCCCCACTTAGGGAATCTAGGAAAATGGGTATCCCACTTGACATACTGTATGGATGAGTTGAGGAATAATATCGTTACCAGGAGGAAACATCAGCAGGGATGCGTGGCATATAAAACAACTGCTTATAGCATATAGCATCATCTGTTGTACATAATAAGGTGAAAGAGCCACACAGCTTCCTCCCTCTCCCCCGGTCGCCGGGCTCGCATTCTCTTTTAAATCTCCTGAAATTTGCACCTCGAGCCTGGCCATCTTCCTTTTTTGAAAAGCTGATGGCCGTTTGGGCCTAATTCAGCTTCTGCACGTACAGTATACGACGGACCTGGCCCAATGCACAGCAAGGTGAACGGGCCCCGTGGCCAGTCCGCCAGCGGGGCCAGTCTGTCAGTGACAGCCTTACATCTGGCCCCCACGGCCAGTCTGCTAATGACAGCCTTACATCTGGCCCCGTGGCCGTCTGCCAGTCACAGACTTATATCTAGCCCCCGTGGCCCGTGGCCAGTCTGCCAACGACAATCTTACATCTAGCATCCGTGGCCTAACAACACCTGTCATCCTTTACAACTGCCACCACAGCGTAGGACACCTGGAGCATGTTGCCCAGTGGAGACAGTGAACTTGCAGCCCTGCAAAAACTTGCCAGGTGAAGGTCAAGCCTTTGTTTTCGTGCATGGCTCGGTCCGGTTCTGCCTGCGAACCGCTACGAAAAACGGAGGAGGTAATACTGGTTCAGTCCCGTGCAGAACGCGTTTGGTGACGGGTTAAACACGATGCGGGAGGCTGGCGGGACTTGGGCGAATCTGAGTTAGTGAAACAGCTATAATCCGATCATCCTATCTGAAAATGATGAGACAGCAATTGCATGATCCTAGCAAGGCTTTTCATTTAGGTTCGATGAGAAGAGCCGCCTTTTCGGCCAGCAATGGTCATTTGGTGACTATGGATAAAGGAGCGAGGGCCAATGACGAGACAAAGGGCGGCCAGCTGAGAACCCTCTGCTTCCGAGATTGACCCGCACATGGGGCCCTCCACGGAATATGTGCGAGCAATCGGGCTGGGTTCTCGCTCAGGAAGCTACCACGCCATACGTGGCTGAGGTTTTTGAGGCGGAGCGGCAGCAGCTGGACGGAATAAAACGACAGGAGCGCTCCAGCACACACGTGGAGGATCTCAATTATTTGGAATTTCGGGATTGTAAAGGTATGTCTCCGTACGTGTAAGCTGCAGTACTACGATAGCTTGCGAGTGTTCAGCGCACGAAAGCCTGTGTGTAAGCGATTGACTTACTCTGAAATGAGATGCGTGCGTGAAACGTACACCATTTGTGGTTTGTGTAAAACAATAACTTGTTAACACAAATAGCACGAGATATGACGTGTGCATATAAAATAGGGACAAATTCAGGTTATGTGTATCCGCGTAAAGGCCAATGCCGACACATGACAGTGGCGCTATGGTTATTTAGCTACTCACACTCGTAGGTCTCCAAATGTAGGAAGTTTAAGTTAACAATGCTGGGGTTGTAACTCACCGGTGACGTTAGTACCCAATCATTCGAACTGTCCCGAACTTAAACCCACCTGGCCTCGATGACCTTGAATCCCGGTTCGGGACTGGTCGAGCTGCGACCAATGGCGGAGTCGCCGTCCATGTCCTCCACCCTGCTGCCATCTATCGGCGGCCCCGGGAAGTTCGGTGCGTGGTTCATGCCGCGGGGTTGGGCGCGACCCACTGCTGTCAGCTCAGTGGCCACCCTCGTGTTCTCCTGGAACAGTAAGTCACCGCGTGTTAGAAATTTCGCTGTTACGACGGCGTTTGGCAAGTGGACTGCTGTAAATGTTTGTTTCTCAGTTTTTGCTAGCATCGTAGCGGATGTAGAGGATAAGTCGAAAAGAGCTTTTATTTTCGTCAAGAGTATAAATGACGCCTAACAAAAGTTAAGGACAACGGCGGAGATGAACTTGCAGGATATCCGCCCCCTGAACCTCTGCACGTCAGGCGAAGCACTATTGCATTTCCTGCCGCCTTTAGATTCATGAACCACATTCATGGTCCTGAGCCACCCAAGCCGCCCTAGGATCCAGCGCCATTTGGTCCTCGGCGAACCCAGGTCCAAATCCCGCCTGAACACTTTCGTATCTCCGTCTATGATACAGCGGCCTCAAGCTGGTGGCGGCACACGGATTGGTGTTTTATGCTTTCTCCAGTCTACATGTAATTTGCGCGAGTGTGGGGGTCGCCGAGGTTGCGTTTGGGCAAAAGCATGGAGGATGTTTTATGCATCCACATGTCTTCACAGCAGAGCGTTGCGGAGAATGGAGGGGCGGGGGACAGTTTCTATGCTTCCAGCTTGAAGGAGCGGTTGTAAGCAATTGGGTTGAACACGTGAGTGGTTACTTTTGTTTATTTTATATTGTTTTCCTTAAGCCATCAAATGGAACCACCACGGTCTAATTATTGCGTGTGAGCAAGTCCACCACCTTGCTGCCGACGCCAGAGCCCGCACAGCGAGTGATGTTTTAGCGATGGCCCTGATCCCAGGGTCGCTTGATCAAACCATTCATATCACGCAATCGCGGAATAAACTGGACACGTTCAAGCTCCAGGGTCAGCTCACTCAAGCCTGAGGCAAGCTCGTTACCCGGG